GTCACCAACTCCCTCATCCACCTCTACTCATCCTCTCGTCTCCTCGGCCACGCCCTCCACCTGTTCGACCAAATTCCCCACCAAAACCGCGACGTCGTCACCTGGACCTCAGTCATCTCTGCATCCGTTGACGCGGACCGCTCCGGTCTTGCTCTTGAGCTCTTCGATTTGATGCCCGTTTCCCCGAACGAAGCGACTGTCGTATCCGTGCTCAGAGCCTGCGCTGATCTCGGAGCTCTTACCGCTGGCCGCAAAGTGCATTGCGTCGCTATGCAATTGGGCATTGCTTCCAAGCCTAATATAATCACTGCGCTGATTGTTATGTACTCAAAATGCGGTCGAATTGATCTTGCCGAACGATTATTTGAACGGATCACTGACAAAGATTTGTTCTCAACAACGGCGATGATTGCTGGGCTCGCGAGCCATGGGAGGTCGCAAGACGCTCTTAAGTTGTTCGGTAGGATAGGAGAATTGGGATTCAAGCCTGATGAGAAAACAATTACCGCCGTACTCTCTGCGTGTAGGAACTCGGGCTTAGTTGCTGAAGGGTACAAGATTTATAACAACATGCGTAAATTTGGGCTGAAGCCTAAGATTCAGCATTATGGATGCATGGTGGATTTGCTAGCTCGAGCGGGGCAGTTGAAAGAGGCTGAAGGGTTTATAAGAAGGATGCCCGTTAAGCCTGATTCACTTTTGTGGAGGAATTTGATCTGGGCTTCGAGATTTCATAAAGATATGGATCGAGCAAAGCGATTGATTGAGGAAACTAAGCATCTTAAATTAGATTCAGGCAATGGCGATAGCTACATTTTGAAGGGAAATGTGTATGCTTCTGATAAGAATTGGGAAGAGAGAGCGCGAGTTAGAGATTTGATGATGAAGCAAAATGTTCGAAAAATGCCAGGGTGCAGTAGGATTGAAATGAAAGGAGTGTTTCATGAGTTTGAGGCAGGAGATAGAAAACACCCCGAGAGGGAACAAATATATCGAAAATGGGAGGAAATTGCAGAGAGGTTGAAGATTGAAGGTCACAAGCCGAAGTTCTCTGAAGTTTTGCTTGACGTTGAGGATGAGGAGAAGGCCTTGCAATTGAATCATCACAGCGAGAAGCTCGCTGTGGCGTTTGGATTGATGAATACAAGCCCAGGAGAGGATATCTTGATTGTCAAGAACTTGAGGGCTTGTAAAGATTGTCATGATGCGATGAAACTCATATCAAGAATCTACGATAGAAAGATTATCGTTAGGGATCGGATCATGTTTCATCATTTCAGCAATGGCTCATGTTCTTGTAACGATTATTGGTGAAATCGTGATAATTATTCTTCTAAAATTTCCACTCCATAACACAAGATACATGCAATATGGAAAATGAAAAAAGAAAAATTATTTCCATTTAGCATAGAATTTCTCATCGCTCCATGCCAACATATTCCTCATGGGAACACTCACTTTCCTCTGCTCCAAATACAAATATCTCGGCACAATTCGCCTCTCCAAACTAAACCCAAAATACTGTGGAAACTCTTTCACCTCTTCAATCGACCTCTTCATCTTGTACACCAAGTACTCGACCTTTGGCCTCAAGTTATTCTCATCACTGTACCCAAAAATAGCTGGACAACGAGCACAAATCTTGCTTGCATCCTCTCTATTCAACCCCCAATCCTCCAAAAACTCGATCTTTGAAATAAGCTTATCCACAGGAGTATTGAGCAAATGTGCATTTAGATTAGTAGGCACATTGAGGTTCTTGATACCCAGCTCGCGAAGAAAGCTAAGAGTTGGCTGGAGACAGTAGGTTATGTTGGAGGTGAGAAGAGTCGGACAGCGGAGAATTAGCCCGCGAGCTTGTTGAGGCGAGGCCAAGAGATCATTGTAGAGAAAAGAGAAGACTGGATTGAGGGAGCGATCAACGTCGAGTGAGGAGAAGATGGAAGGAGCGAGAAAAGAAAGGCGAGGGAAGTCGGAATCGGAGAAGCCTTTCGATTTGAGGAAGTCGACTACGGAGAGAATCCAGTGGAGGGTTTCGTCGGAAGGGGAGGAGGTGGCGGGTTTGAGGCCGAGGTTTTTGAGGTAACGGAGGCGGTTTTGGCGTTGAGAGTTTCGGAATTGGAGGAGGAGAAAGGGTTGGTGAGGGAGTAATTTAGGGTTTGATTTAGGCTTCGGCTTAGGGTTTTGGGTGCAGCAGAGGATTGGATGGTGAAGGGATTGGAGAAGAAGGAGCATTGCCTTGTTTTTTTTTTTTTTTGG